GCAGACAGCAAGGGACCAATGAACAGATGCCAAAAGAAAAGAATGTCCACACCTTTATCTCAGCGGTTCTGCCAGGCATCTGTGGCAGCTCTGATCCTTTCCCCACGTGGTCTCACCCAAGATGGCGGCACCTGGAGCAGCCGAGGATCCTGGACTAGAAAGCAATGGATTTCTTGCTTCTGCCACAAATTTCCCCAGCTGTGAGCCTTCCAACCTTCTAAGTATTCCTTTATATGTGGTTCCAAGTTCTGGGACCATCCCCTAAACCTGCTTGGTCAGGTATTCTGTGTTGTTGTTGGCAGAGCTCTCTGCTATATGTCCATCCGATCCGCCATCTTGTTTGTTCTTCCCCACATCTCTTTTTACCAGACCCATGTAGACAAGATGAAAACTATTCAGTGGGGATTCTGTTGTCCCCTGCACACTCTTCAACTAAACTCCCTCTTGAAACTTTGTAAGCCAGTCACTTCGTGCCTTTACCATCCCCTCATTTTAGGTAGCCAATGTCTAAATTGCCCATATATACCCTGTGTACAGAAAGGATTGCATTGATAATTGATGTGAAGACTCCTTCCCTCTCTGTTGGTACTTTGAACTACTACATCCATGAATATAGGTCAAGTTCATCCAATTGTAGTAGCAAGTAAAGTTTCGCTGAAGATAATGAAAAAACAGTTCCAGGTGTAAATGGATAGGGAGCTGCCAGAAATTCAAGCTAGATTCAACAGAGGATGTGAAATCAAGGATATCATTGCTGATGTCAGATGGATCTTGGCTAAGAGCAGGGAATACCAGAAAGATGTTTCCTTTTGTCTTATTGACTATGCAAAAAGGCTTCTTTCTAACTGATCATGACAAGCTGTAGATAACATTCCAAGAATGGGTATTCTAGAACACTTAATTGCACTCATGAGGAATCTATACATAGACCAAGATGTAGTTGTTTGAACAGAACAAGGGAACACTGCATAGTTTAAAATCAGAAATGGTATACAACATGGTTGTATTCTTTCACATATTTTTTCATTCTGTATGCTGAACAAATAGTCTGAGAAGATGGATTATATGAAGAAAAACGTTGAGTCAGATTGGAGGAAGACTCATTAACAACCTGGGATATACAGATGATAAACCTTGCTTGCTGGAAGCGAAGAGGATTTTCAATGCTTACTGATGAAGATAAAAGACTTCAGCATGGATTATACCTCAATGTAAAGAAAACAAAATAAATATGTGTATGAAAGCTGGAGAATGACTGAGGAAGGTTAAAGATGATTTGATGCATTTGAATTCTGGTGTTGGTGAAGAATATTGCAAGTACCATGGATGCCAGAAGAACAAACAAATCTGTCTTTGAAGAAATACATCCAGAATGTTCCTTAGACACAAGGATTGTGAGACTTTGTCTCTCATACTTTGGATACGTAAACAGGAGAAAGCAGTTCATAAAAAAGGACATCATGATTGATTTATTAGAGGGTAAGCTAAAACGAGGACAATCCTCACTGAAATAGATTGATTCAGTGATTGTAACAGTGAACTCAAATATAATGCTTGTGTGGCTGGTGCATGACTGGACAGTGTTTTGTTCTGTTGTACATGAGTTGCTATGAGTCAACAGGAAAAACAAAATAAAACCCAACAACTATCCGTTTACAGTCTCTCAGATTCATTTGCACTCTGTGTCATGTTTTAAGATACTGAAGCGTAAACATTTCTTCTCTGCCATTTAACGTAGTGTTAAATTTTGTCATTAGGGATTCCTAGAAGAATGCTGCAGAATGAAGAGGCTTCTCTTCCTTGTTCCAGCATGTTTTCTTTTCCTTCTTGCCTCTGTGACATATAACAGTGAATGGCATGAGGTTTCCCCAACTACCCTTCCATTCCCTGCCCCCATCCTTGGATATCCAGAGGATGATTTCCCAATTAGTTCATAGGCGCTTGCATTGCAGTTTTCTGCCTGCCAGCCGTGACCTCTGTAGCACATCAGCAAACTTCACCATCCAGTGGACCTTAACCACACTGTCTCCAGTGAAGTCTGACTCTCAGGCTTGGGGGGCTCTTCCAGTTGTGTCTTCTCTGGGTACTCTCAGTTCCAAAGGAAGTGGGTGTTCCCTATTACTGCTTTTTCTGTTTTCTTTATAGTTGTCTTTACTCTTTTGTACTTAATTCCCTGTTAACTACTTAATAGTTCTCTAGTTAAAATTTCCTTGTTGACTTGACTAGGATAGTTTCTGTCTCCTGAGTGGACCCTGACTGATAAAATATGAATATTCACAATAGGAGGGATAAAGACTATAATTAACCTCATTTGGGTTAAATGCTAACCACCAAAATGAATTTTGATGCCAGGCTTAACCAAAAAACCAACATATAGTTTTCAAAGCATTATGGGTTTAAGAATTGTAGGTAAGGGAACGGGAACTTGAACTTTCTTTTCTTTTATTGTTGTTCTTTCTTAATGTGTGAGAGCTTAAATTCTAAGTAAGCATTTGGCTCTCAGAAGACTGGTTTACAGTGGGAGCCCTAACTCCATTTGGACTCTTGACATACAGTCAGTGTCTGTTTGCGTTCCTTCTGACCATTAGCTGGTAATATAAAAAGCTTTGGCCTTGGGAAGAGTGTGTTTAAAAGTAGCCCTCCCAGAGAGAGTCAGTCTTACCCTCAGGGACTTGCCTGGGTGTGCTCTTAGTGGAAATTGGTGTACCAGGGCAGCATGGTCATGATTATATTCCAACCAAGGTGGTTGTAAGGCTAGAACCAATCTGGTAAACTTTTCTAATCTGCAATAGTGTAAATACCCCAATCATGGTCCCTTTCCCAATTCCTTAGTCCCACCTGTGACAGTGCTGAATTGATAGGTCATCAATCATGATTTTATGGCAATTCCCATTGTTTTCCTTGTTCTTTAATTAACCACAAGTTTGTGCATCCTTTGGACACCATTATGGCTTCATACTAACGATATCCCTCGTCTGGATGATTCATCTTTGTCTTGTCTTTGTCTTCTTGCTTAAGACATAATGAAGGGGTCTCTAAAATAAAATAAAAATAAAAGTTAATGGTATAAAGTGAACTTTTAAAAAGCAGGGAATACCTGTACCATGGGCCTCTGGGTTTCTTCTAATTTTTGGTTATTACGTATTAGCCTGTGAACATTTTTTTATGTCTCTTGGTAGACATATGTAAGTATTTCTATTGGCTATACAAGTATTCCTAGAAACAGAACATGGTGGTAAGTATATGTTCAATTGTATTAGAAGCCACTGAATATATTTTGAAAGTAGTTGTAACAGTTTATACTTTTATCAGCAGTGTAGTTCCAGTTGCTCCACATCCTTGCCAGTAGTTGATGTTTTCAGTCTTCTTGGTTTTAGCCTTCTGGTAGGTGTATTTCATTTGGATTTTATTTAGAATAACTAATATAATTGGACACTTTTTCATATGATTATTGGCCACTTAGATATTTTATTTTGTGAGATACCCATTCAAGTTTTGAATCATTATTCATTTGTCTGTGCTACTGATCTGTAGGAATTTTATTTTTATAGATTTTGTATGGGAACCTTTTATTGGTTCTATATTCCAACCATCCCTTAAGTATTTAATATGATCTAGTAGACATATTATAGGTACCCACCTTTACTCCCGTGTATGGTCTGTAGTACTTGCTTTCCAAAGGTCCTTTCTGCTTAGAACATTCTGTTGGGGAATTCTCCAGCTGCATGCCATCCTGATGAGACCCTAGGAGCACTGCCCAGCATGAACCTGGAGTGACAATTTCCAGGGCATTACTGAGGGCTAGCATGGTAGCTGGGGTCCTCTCATTGTTGGATGGCCAGGCTCCTTCTATACCCTAACAGGACTTCTTCCTTACTGAGAATAAAACACTGCCTCTAGGACTGACTGAGAAGGGGGATGTGTACACACACCATGTGTCCTGCTATCATAGGGTTTATGGTGAACATTCAGCCAGAACCCTGTGACTGAGTGAAGATTTTACCATATTCCTCCTCTTTCCTGGTTCTGGGTGTGACAGATGTGCTGTCTTCTTGATGTGCAGGGTCCTTGTGGGTGCACCAAAGGCAGATTCCAAGTATAGCACCTCAGTGAAGTCCCCTGGAGCTGTGTTCAAGTGCCGTGTCCATACCAACCCCGACCGGAGATGCACCGAACTGGACATGGCTCGAGGTGGGTGGAGCTTTTTTTCTGAGGTCTGTGGGTAGATGTCACTGCCAAGGTGGACATGGGTTCTGCACCCTCACCCTTTCCTCTTTGTATTCTCATGGTAATCTTATCATTCATGCATGCATGCATGCATCCATCCATCCATCTGTCCACACAGTAAAAAATATATATCAAGTACATATTGCTTACTGTACCCTGGGCTACAATAGTGGACAAAACAAAGAAATTTCCTGCTATTCTACGTCTTGCATTTTAGTGGATAAGGGAGACATAAAAGGAAATAATCGAGGGAGGAAAAACCAGAGGGAAAGTGGGTATTGGATATAATCTACATTGGAGGCCTTCTGTGGTGCTGTGGGCTAATGCGCTGGACTGTAAAGTCAATTTGAACCACAAGGTAGGCGGTTCAAGCTCACCAGCTACTCTTTGGACACCCTCCCTATACAGGGTTGCTATGGGTCGGAATCTACTTGACAGCACTTAACCACAACAACAACAGGGTCAAACAAGGGGAAGTGACTTTTACACACTATTTAGTCTAGCAGGGGAGGCAGAGCTTCCAAGCAGAGGAAGTGGTTTGTCATTTTGAAGGATAGTGTGTGGACTATAGAGTAGCTGGAATGGTGATCCCAGCGAGAGTAGATGCAGATGACTTTGGAAAGGTAGGCAGAACTAGCTCACACAGGGCCTACCAGGTCCAGCGTAAGGGGTTTGGATTTTATCCTATGAACAAAGGGAAGTTCATTAAAAGCATCAGTAAATGTTGTTATTATTATTTTACGTGAGGCTGTAAATCTTTACGGGAGCAGAAAGCCTCATCTTTCTCCCATGAAACAGCTGGTAATTTCGAACTGCTGACTATGAATGAGATTAGCAGCCCGATTTATAATCCTGAAAGATATAATTTGATAGATATTCTCAAAAGCTCACTTTTAGTCCTCTGAAAAGTGTATCATTTTATGAATCATATAAATCTGCCTGAGTTCAGAACCCAGAGCTTCCAGTTATGAGTTGGGACTTACTGGAAACATTAGCCTCTTAGACCTCAATTCCTTACTTGTAAAATCAGGACTAAAGTACCTACCTCATAAAGATTACCTTGAGAAAATTAAATGAGGTAATGAAAGTAAATACATAGGACCAGGCTTGCTATATTGTAGTTGTCAATAATTGTTGTTGTTAAGTTCCTTCGAGTAGATTCTGACCCGTAGCAACCCGGAGCGACTAGTGAGCTTGAACAGCCGATCTTGTGATTCAAACCAACTTTGCAGCCCAGTGCATTATCCCACAGTACCACAACAAGACTTAGTGAAACAATAAAACAACCAAACAGTAATTAGGAACTATTTTATTTAATTATCATGCTAAGCCCTTACTTTCTTTGTAGCCCTTTCCCATCAAGACCTTCTAATTTTTTGTTTTTTTAATGAAGACTTGTCATGATTTTTTTTTAGCAGAAAACGAGAGGCCCCCTAGAGAGGTACTGTCTAGTGCTGTTGAACTTGTTGGTTTACAAACTGTTGGTGGTACATAAAAAATGGAGGTGCTTGCATTGGGACTGCTTCCTTCTTTGAGAAAATCTTGCTGTGAAGAAAGGTTGGTTGAATTCAACTGTATACATAATGATAGAGTTGCTTTATGCTGTTACCAACTCCCAAACTCCTCGTGGGCTAAAAAACTCAACATTCAGATTTGCTGCCATTGAGTCAATTCCAACTCATAGTGATACTGTATAGGGTTTTTGTGGCTACAAGGCTTCTCTACTGGGGAAGAAAGCCTCTTCTTTCTCTAATAACAAGTGTTTGGCATTGGACCACCTTTTGAAAAGCGTCCAGCAAAACATCATTTCTTAACCCAAGTTGGCATTCCTCTTTTTCCTCCAGGGAAGAATCGTGGCACCCCATGTGGAAAGACTTGCCGGGAGGACAGGGACGATGAGTGGATGGGGGTGAGCCTGGCTAGGCAGCCCAAGGCTGACGGTCACGTGCTGGTAAGTCTCTGGGGGGCGCTGTTGGGAGAGGGGCACTTTAGGAAAGAATGACTTTGATCTTTTAGGAACGTCGTATAGCATGGTGACAAAGGCCTGACTTTGAGCATACTGCTGGTGTGGCACTGTAAGATAAACACTGGATGGCCAAACAAAAGGATCAGCAGTTCAAACCTACCACCTGCTCCTTGGAAACTATACATGGTTGCTATCAGTTGGAACTGACTCTACAGCACTTTAATAACAACAACAACTTGTACAAATGACTCATGTTTTTATTTTCTTCATTTGTCAAATGCTGATAATGTTGGCCCAAGGAATAAGATGTGTCTATTGAAAAATGACAGATTAAATGTATGTGAAACGTGCTTTGTAAATTTCATTGAGCCCATAAGTATTTTTTATGTTTTTTAAAATTGAGACATGATTTACATAAAATGCACAGGTTTTGAGAGTACAGTTTTGGGTATCAACAATTGTTTACACCTGCAGAGCCATCATCCCATCAAGATATACAATAAATTTCCATCGTCCCAAAAGAATTCTCAGAAGTCCCTCCCCCAGCATAACCATTTTGATTTGTGTTTACTACTGATTGCTTATGCTTTCTAGAACTTCTTATAATGGAATTGTAAGGCTTCTTTACTCAAAATAGTATTTTTGAGATGAATCCATGTTGTCTCTATCAGTAATTCCTTTATATTTGTTCATTTCTATATTATTTACAGTATTACATTTTATGAAGTATATGCTGTTACTGTTCATTAGTCATTTGCCTCCCAAAGTGCATGGAGGAGATACAAAGAAAGAAAAGTCTCTGCCCTTGGCTCTTGATCTCTTAAATTTGTACTGTCCAATAGGAAAGTCACTAGCGCTTATGACTGGTGCCTCCTGTGTTGTTGGACAACCAGACAGAGAATATTTCCATCATTGCAGCAATCTTTATTGGACTCAACAAAAAATTGGAATTTTAATTGTGGCAGAGGCTTTGCTTTCTTTTTCTTTTTTTAAAGCTTTCATTGTGAGTTGAGTGATAGTTTACATGGGAGCACATTGGTTTTGCACTCAACCTATCGTCTTTTTTTTTCATTGGAATGATTACAGTCCCATCCATGCATCAGTGGTTAACAGTATTTGCTTCCATTCCCTCTGTGTTTTGTTTGTTTGTTTTTTTTGATGTACACAAAAACAGGAATATATAATCATTTAAACAACCAAAGGACACATTCTGCAAGCCCTCCTTCTGGCTGCCAGCGTTTCTCTTTCCATGAGTCTACAGTCCTCAGCTGTTCTATCTCTCTTTGACGTCATCTCTGCCTTCATCTTTGGTGTTGCTGCTTCTCTGGATGGGGTCCCATATTCTGCTCATGCTCTTCTCTCTGGATGGTCTTAGGGCCCTCTGTTCCTAGACTGTAAGATTAACTACTCCCCCCTTTTTGTTACCTTTACAGTTGTGACAGTCGCAATTAGTCATGATAACAATTATTCACTATTGAATCAGAAGAATTCTATCCCATTGCCTTTTTTTTTTTGTATTAAATGTTTTTATTTTGGATTGAGTGAAAGTTTACAGGGCACATCATCAGCTTCACATTCAACCATTCATATAGCTTGTTTCATTACATTGATTATTATCCCCTCCATATATCATCAGTTAACAGTGTTTCTCTCTATCCTCTTTACCTTTTTTTTTTTGGGTGGGGGGGATCTTGCCTTTTTGGAATTTACAGTCTCGGCTTTTAGGAAAGGTTTTTACATTTGTCTGTGGATATCCAGGGCTCATGTATGAGATTACTAACAAGCATTACTGAATAATCAGATGAGGGACAGTTTGCTATGTCTACTAGGTGGCTAAAGTCTGATCCTCAGAGCCTATGGTTTGGACGGTCAACAATGCTTGGACCCACAGGGTCTTGACCTCCTGACCGGGTCTGCACGGTCTGCATCAGATTCCCCCTTATTGTTTGTTTGTTTGTTTAAGGGACACTGCCTGTCTTAGGCGGTCAGTGCGAATTCCTCAGTCTTACCCGTCATCGAAACTCATTGCAGCATGGCAATGGCTCTGTCTTAGGTTGCTGAGGTTCCACGTGATCCTTACCCGTCTCTGGCCACACGTCCAGCATAAACAGCCACCATCTGAGGAAGGCAGGAAGGGAGGAGATCGGCTGGGGACCCCATACGCAAGACGTTGCCAGCCCACCACCTGCTCTAAGGTGACCAAGCAGGATCACTATGCTGAGGTTCAATCAAGTTCTTAGGGGATCTTACTCTCTAGCAGGGGTAGCAGATTGGTAGCCACTCAGTGCTCACTTTGAGAATTACTTATATCATAAATTTGAGCATGTAGCTGATGAATATCCACAGACAAGTGGATATTATTTCACAACCTCCTAAAATGCTGTTGGATTAAGTTCCAATCAAGTTCTGGATTACTGAAAGATAACACAAATCTACTTATACCATGAATAACCTTAGCTGGGAGTGTAATCTGGATACATTGGGTCTTGTTTCCCTTAAGCGATCTTCATTTCTCTAAAGCATTTAGTCTGTTTTGTAAACCTTTATCTATTTACTCTTGGATCATATGAGCGAGACTAATATCCCTAGACAGTTGATTTACATGGTGGGCAGGGCAAAAAAAGGTAACAATTCCTATTAGTGCAGTGATTCTTGACATGAGAGCAAAGACACATGGCACATATAAGGGCCAGGCACCGCAATGATTTGCCTAGCTTCTGAAAACTTTAACAGGCAATACAATCTACGATGGTTGATGGACGATTGCAAAATCAGTAACATCTATTAACTCCCCATTCCCCACGCCCGACAAGCAAAGCAGCAGAATGTCTCTGGGGTTTAACCAGTTCTCTAAGGGTTAAACAGTTCTTAAAGTCTTCTCTGCTGTGGAAACGGCTGGCTGGCTCCTTGGTGCTCTTGCCGGGGGTGGGGGGTGGGGGTGGGGCTCAATCGAGATGCAGATGACATCCCTCTTTCAGGTGGGTCTTCGGTGAATGCTGCCCATTGCCTTTTAACATACTCATCTAGACATGATGAAAACTATTCAGTGGGGATTCTACCTTCCCCTCCACACTTGTTTCCTTTGAAAAGTTTTATTGTTGTTGTTGAAGTATAAAACTACTTACTTAACACACACAACTTTGAGTGTACAGCAGGGAGAAGTTTTCTATGCATACACTCCTCTGTCCACATTTCTTATACCTGTGAAGGCTCCCTCATGCCCTTGTCAGTCAGTACTCCCTCCCAGCTGACATAACCAGTGTTCTGATGTCAGAGACCTCTTCTTGCCATTCATTGGTATATGTTTAAAAGCATGAGATTGAGAAAGGAAAATAGTACCACTAGGAGCTCTGGTAGCGTAGTGGTTACGAATCGGGCTGCGAGCCTTAAGGTCAGCGGTTCGAAACTACCAGCCGCTCCGCGGGAGAAAGATGAGGCTTTCTACTCCCGTAAAGATTTACACCCTCGGAAACCCTGTACAGGGTCGCTATGGGTCGGACCCGACTCGATGGCACTTAACAACAACAACAACAACAGCTGTCACTTACTGAAGGCTTCCTTTGAACCACATGCTGTAAAATTGGGGGTTTTCTATATATCATTTTATCCCCTGGAAAACAAGTTTTCCTTTCCTTAAGGAGCTTGGCAAAATATTTCTATCACTTGTCTGAGGAATCCACTTTTGTATTAAATATTTTGATGGCAGAAGTTGTTAACTCAAATTCTGCCTTCTTTCTGCACAAATCAAGCGTCTCCTTTTCTGCTGGGTCCGAGGGAGGGAGGAAGCAGCTGGATGCTATCATCAACATCGCAGAGCCTCCCTCCAGGGATCTGTTGTTATAGGTCCTGCTGAGGCCCTCTTCTCCCACCCTCCATTTGTCTTGTTTCCATTCCTGAATCACTGTCACTGTCTGGCCCTGGACTTTCTCCAAGTCTCTGCATTCCTCCAGATGTGGTGGCTTGACCCTGGCTGGCCAACTCAGCCCCTGAAGGGACAGAATGCTTGTTTGCCATGCTGCATATAAAGAGAGGTGGGGGAGAATCCACCTATATAAATCAAAGGGTGGACTGAGATCAGGGTTCAGAAAAAAACAAGGAGGAGGCAGTGGGCTGGTGGCAGCACACATACTTTTAGATACTACTCCACTGCTTAGGGAGATCTCCCCAGGTACTGGGAGTGAAAGGTTCTTAAGAGCCTGGAGTCTCAAGGCAGAGTTTGTTCTGTTGAACATAATTCCTCTTCCCATGGAAAGATAACCTTAATTTGGCTGAGAACTTGATACCAGATTGCATGACAGAGGTTTCCATGTTCCTACAAATTGACATCAAGAAAGGACTGTGTCTGGGGACATGGCAGCAGGGAGGATCTTGGGAAGATTTAGCAAAGGAAGCTGCGAAGGAAAAGCTGGAGCATTTGTGGATAATGGTGCTGTGGATAATCACGTTCTAATTAATTCTAGACTGAGCTGCTCTTCTCATGTTTTACACAATTACTGAATCATCCATTTACTAAGGCGCTCTGCTCTTGGTAAGCTCTGGAGAACGAGAGGGGCATCTAACAGTGCCCACTGCTCGTTTTGCACATAAGCTCTCTTGCTAGGAAGGGCTTATCTGAATTCTGTCTGTCATCACCCTCCTCTTCACGCTTCACTTTCAACTCTGCCTTCTTCATGAAGTCCAACAGGAGGCTTCTGCCCTGTGCTGTCTTGGAACAACCCTAGCACCGTTCGGAGCATTAGGACCTCAACTTATATTACTTTATACTGTATGGATCATTTATTTTGCATGTGTGCCCTTGTTTCTGGAAGACACTTGAGGGTCAGAGACCAAATATTTGACCCCTTTTCACTCCCAATGCCTGGGGAGATCTCCCCAAGGATTGAGAAATAGTTTGTAAAAAAGAGTGTCTGGAACAATAAAAGGTTGGAGTGTCAATATTAAAACAATTAGAAACGGAGTTAGTTGCCATCTCCTTTTGGTGACTG